TGTGATTTGACCAGCAGGTGGGCAACACTGCCACCTGTTGGTAGTTAACAGCAAATTTCATCTGTGTGTTGGTGTGTGAGTGTGCCTGCCTGTGAGAGTTAGAAGGTAAGAGGTCATCATTAGGTATCTGTCCCTATCCTCCACCACCTTAATTTTTTTTTACACAAAGCTCACTGAACCCAGAACTTGCCATTTGACTAAACTAGCCCAGTGAGTTCCCAGGATCTGTCCCTTAGTCCTGGGATTACAGACAGGCCACAAACCCTGGCTTTTTACATGGGTGTGCTGATCCAAACTTACACTTGTGCAGCCAGAGGAGTCAAGGCCAGTCTCAGCTACAAACAAGTGGGAGCCTAGAGACTTTCTCCAAGCAAGTGTGCAAACAAGCAAGCAAGCAAGCAAAGAAGGACTTAGGGAGAGGGTTCAATGGGTAAAATGTTACCTGAGTTCAGATTCCCAATAATGACAAAAAATGCTGAGCACGGGGGCACATGCCTGTTAGCTTCAGCACTGTGAAGTCAGAGGCAGACACACATCCATACATATCAGTATAAAAATAATCTTTACTGGGGTGGTGGTGGCGCACACCTTTAGTCCCAGCACCTAGAAGGCAGAGGCAGGCGGATCTCTGAACGTGAGGCCAGTCTGGTCTACAGAGCAAGTTCCAGGACAGCTAGGGCTACACAGAGAAACTCTGTCTCAAAAAACAAAACAAACAAAAAAACCAAAACAGAACAGAAACAACAACAACCAAATCTTTAAAAAAAAAGATAGTGGATTCTGAGTCCTTTTTCTTCTTTAAAGGATGGTAAGGGGGACTTCTGTCTCAACTAAGCCATCTATCCCTTCTGCCCCTTTTGTCTTCGTTGTCTGTGACAGTATCTCATGGAATGTAATTGACCTTGGACTTGCTATGTAGCAGACAATGACCTTGAATCACTACCCTTCCTGACTCTACCTCCCAAGAGCTGGGATTTCAAGTGACTTTGAAGCCCCTCTGGGCTTTATGAGAACCTACCTTGTAAAAATAAAAACTAGAGGCTGGGGGCATAGCTCTGTGGGTAGTGGGCTTGCCCAGCATTCACCAAGCCCTGGCTTTGATTCCCAGCAGTGAACAGAGGGAGCAGGAGGATCTGAAATTCAAGACCATCCTCAGCTACATAATAAGTTGAAGGCTAGCCTGTGCTACATGAGATCACCAGACAGAGGTACTGGGGGTGGGAGGGACAAATGTCATGATTGTGTGTGTGCACTGGAAAATTGCTGCCCTCAAGAGTACCCAATGCACAGGGAGAGAAAGAAGTCGGCTGAGCGTGGCCAGCAGACTGGCCAGGCCATGCCTAGGAAAGCGGGAGAGAATAGTGGAGACTGCAGGACAGTAGGACATAGACAAGAGAGGATGGTGAGAGAGGAGCGAAGTGAGTGCATAAAAGCAGGTAAGTGGACAGCAAGAGCCAGAGAGGACAGGAGAGCGTGTGGGAGAGGGCGGGTGAGAAGATCAGGGTCATGAGGAGAGTGAGGGTCAGGGGAGAGGGAAGCCATGAGCTGGAGGTAGTTATGGTAGGGGAAGAGATGAGAAGTGCTGCCATGCTAACATGGGCTTTGAAATGTGTAACACAGACTACGAGTAGGCCCTGGGGAAAAAAGGAATATAGAAATAACTCCATTTAGAACAGGCTGGGTTGGGGCCCCAGCTCCACGGGAGGCAGGAAAAGCCTATCTCCTGAGGGTGGTGTGTGGGTTTGATCCCAGATGAAATCAATCCTAGACACAGAACACTCGGGTGTGGGCTGGAGAGGTGGCTCAGTGGGTATGAGCACTGGCTGCTCTTCTGGGGGACCTGGCTTTGATTCCCAGCAACCACATGATAGCACACAACTGCCCGTAACTCCAGTTCCAGGGGATCTGATACCCTCTTCTGGTCTCCACCAACACTGCATGCACATGTTGCACAAGCAGGCACACAGGTGTACACACACATCATATCATATATACATCACATTACAGAGAGAGAGAGAGACAGAGAGAGAGAGAGAGAGAGAGAGAGAGAGAGAGAGAGAGAGAGAGAGAATAAAAACAAATAAGACAAAAAAACAACTCAGGTGCTAAGCCACTCAAGGATGAGGAACCTGGGGGCTGGAGAGATGGCTCAGTGGTTAAGAACACTTGTTACTCTTACAGAGAACAGGGTTTGATTCCCAGAACACACATGGTGGCTCACAGCCATCTGTAATCCTAAATCCAGGGATCCCAAAAACCCTCTTCTGACTTCCCCAGGCATCAGACAATCATGTGTCAGACACATATACAGTGCCCAGACATACATGCAGGAAAAACAGTCATATACATTAGCTAAATATAAACAATCGTTTTAAGGAATGGAAAGTCTACCATGATTACAGTCTCTGACCATCAAAGATATTAACACACAACCACATCATACCTGAAATACCTCATATATGACCAGTACATTATTTTTGGTTTTTTGTTTTGTTTTGTTTTTTGGGTTTTTTTGTTTTTTTGTTTTTGTTTTTTGAGACGGGGTTTCTCAGTGTAGCCCTGGCCATCCTGGAACTCACTCTGTAGACCAGGCTGGCCTCGAACTCAGAAATCCACCTGCCTCTGCCTCCCAAGTGCTGGGATTAAAGACATGCACCACCACCGCCCGGTGTGGCCAGTACATTAAAAGGGCTTTTCCAGCTGCACATAGGGTCGAGGTATCTAATCAGCAACCTTGTAGGTCATTCTTAGGACAATAAGGTTGAAGGATATCTTAGTTCAATGTCAGCCTGAACATTATAGACAGAGCTTGTCACAAAACAAAACAAGGCTTGACGGCATGGACCTTTAACCCAAGCCCTTGGGAGGCAGAAGTAGGCAGATCTCTATGAGTTCAAAGCCAGCCTGGTGTACATGGCAAATTCTAGCCCAGGCAGGGCTACTTAGTGAGACCAGGTCTTTTTTTTTTTTTCTAAAGCAAACAAATAAAAACAGAGAAACTGTCAGTTGATGGTCCCAGCAATTAGGTGAAAGGCCAAGTGTGTCTGTGGCTGGGTTGTGTTATGTGTAGCTGCAAGTTCAGTGCTAAGGGAAGGACTGGATGGAGGGCAGAGACAGAAGGGTGGCTGAAGCTGACCAGTTCACATCCAGGAGTCCACACTCAGTGAGAGACCCTGGTTTAAGGTAGTAAGAGAGAGAGATGCCTGCCATCTTCCTCTGGCTACAGTGCTCACCAGCACACACCAGAGGTATACAACACACACACACACACACACACGCACACATGCACGAACATTAAAGATAAATGAAAATTAAAAACAGAGAAAGACTCCATCCTGGACAGTGAGGAGAGAAAACAGTGATGTTCTGGCCACACATGGGAAGAACAACCCTGGACATAGGACACCCTGTCCGAAAGGTGCATTCTTGTACATGAATGCATGGAGGTGTAGTTTTTAATCTTATTAAACACAAGTTGTTTTAAACTCTATCTTATAAACCTGGTTTTTAAAGATAGAACATAAATTAGCATAAATCATGTGGCAGCCCTTAGTTAAATCACAGCATTCCAGAAAGTTACCTGGTTCCTGAGCAGGTGGGGTTTACAGATTAATTTGGGAAATTATAGTACTCCATGCAGGCAAAAAAAAAAGAAAAAGAAAAAAAGAAAAACAAAACATACTCACAAAATAAAATTGGAAAGATCTAACATACCTTAAAATATATAGAAAAGTAAGCTAAATTTAAAATTAATAAATTGAGCATTAAGTTCATTGTCTCTCCTCATTTGTTTCCCTTTGAATGAAAATCAGGACAATGTTGCAGTAATTTCTCAATAAGCCCGTATAAAAGATACACAACTCAATTATTTTTATAAGCTATATGTCTAGATTGGGCAGGTCTATCACTGTACTAATCTACTCCCCAGCTGTGAGAACTCTTGCTACTTGTGGCTTCTCCAGGCCATGTCTCTCTCCTCCCTCTCTGAGACCTCCAGACCCATCTTTCCCTTCCACTGCCCAATCATCGGTTCTAGCCTTTATCTGACCAGTCAGAATGGGGAGAAAGCCCAGTGAGATTACCCGAGTATGTGCTCTGCTCACTGTAGAAGGCAGCCCCTCTTGAGGAAGCCGAATAAATATCAAAATACAAACAGCACCAGGACAACCCGCAATACAAGAATGCTCCTGACTATGGGTGAGAAGGGTTTTATTGTAGATATGAAGACGAGTACAGCCAGAGGCATCTGGAAGAGTCCAGACTGAACATAGCCAACAAAATAGCCGGGGCCATGAGAGGAGAGGTGGGGAGTAGGGGCGGGGGTGGGCAAGCTAGGAAGAGATGACTGGAGAGAGGGTGCCAAGAGGACCCAGAGGGTGCTTGGGAATCAAGAGGGGAGTGGTCAAAACGGCTGAGTTATACAAGAATCTGAAACGGGCAAAGCTCGGGGGCTAGAGAGATTTAGGGTCGGGGCGGAGTATGCCAGACAGGATGACTCTGTAAGAGGTACTTGTGAGAAGTTAGCATAGACCTCGATATGCTACTAGACGCCACCACAGGTGTAGGTTAACGGAAGAGTCCTATGTCCGTTCTGCCAAAGATGAGAATGACTACTTTTAGCAAGTAAGAACGACTTTCTTAAGTTCCTGAAAGAATGATAGGTTTTGTCTAAATGCCAGACTTTGGGGAAATTTATTATACTTTCCCCCCACCCCCACCCCTTTTTTTTTCCTTCACGAAAATAAAAGTGAAGCCTTTAGAACCTTTTGCCTTTTACAGTGAGTGGAAGAACAAAGGTGGAGAAGCGGGCGTCTGATCGTCACCCGATCCTTTTCATTTTCATTCACTAAGCTACATACACTAGAGTGCCAAGAGCCGCTACGAGTAGCCGCCTGGTTCCGAGAGACCCGGCAGCCGGGACCCGCAGTTGGCCTGGCAACCGGTGAGGTCTCAGCGTCGCGCTCCTGACGTCATAGATGGGCGCCACACTTGAAGCGAGTGCGGGAAGCTGCGACTGCAGCTGAGCTCTGAGACAGCCATGGAACTAACGCAGGAAGAGCGGGAACTGAGTCGCTGGGCTGCTGAAGAGATGGGGTTGCCCCCAGCGGCTTGTCCCCGGGAATCGACGCTGCGCAGGTGAGGCTGCTTCTGGAGTAAGTGTTATGCCCAGGTCTCGGGACCTCCAAGACATCTCAAAGAATTGCCGTATCCGCTGTAGAGATACAGAAGAACCTTTTATTTCAAATCCAGGTTTGGACCGCAAGTTGCACAAAAGCGAAGTTGTGGCTCCGTGTCTAGTGTAGGGAATATATACAAGCAGGTTACATAGCGGGAGGGAAGTGGCGGATAAGGGAAGCTTTAATGTTTTTACAAACCGGTCGCAGATGTCTGGGAACTCTTTTGTTTTGTTTTGTTTGTTTGTTTTTGTTTTTCGAGACAGGGTTTCTCTGTGTAGCCCTGGCTGTCCTGGAACTCACTCAGTAGACCAGGCTGGCCTCGAACTCTGAAATCCGCCTGCCTCTGCCTCCCAAGTGCTGGGATTAAAGGCGGTGAGCCACCACCACCTGGCTGTCTGGGAACTCTTAATTGGCATGATTTCTCTCTAAGGATATATGGTTTTTGCTTTTCCCAAGGCCATAAGCCACCTGTGTTGGGGAGTGTTTTGGTCATCCATCAGAGTGCTTCAGGCGGCATGGAGGCTGCTGTACTGTTTTTATCTGTTCTCAAACTGATGTTGTCGTTCCCAGGATGTGGGTGCTATCAGAGTAATGATTTGAGGCCTTTGGCGTCTTTTTGGGAGGGGTCAGGTGGCGGGAAGGCGGATTTCTATGTGTGCGGGACTGAGGGGCAAGAGGGAAGGGCTGAGGCGGCGGCGGCGGCGGCGGCGGCGGCGAGCGCCAATCTGCTAGGCTTCTGGGGAAGTGCCCAAGCCCGCACTGGCCATTTAGCTCAGCTCCTTCATAAGGACTCCCCATCCTGGAATTAGCCTCAAGGCATAAGATCCCCGGCCCTCATCGAGAATGAGACAGATCTGCAGAATAAGGGAGTCCCTACAGCACCTCACCTCTGCCACTCTCGCCCTAAGCAAAGGTGACACTAGGCAGTTAGCAATGGCTGTTCTATTGGGGACAAAATCTGCAGAAACAGTAACACATGACCCTGTTATGAAAGACCATTTCCTGGGGTGGAGACCTCTTACACGCACCTCTGCAAGTGACTACAACTAAACCTCTCTCAGAAGAAAGAGAACCCTGTCGTGGAATAAGAATACCCTCACACTTAGGGAGAAGGCCACCCTCTCAGTGACACCCCCAGGCACACCCACAGAAGTGAGAAATCTTGGAACTTTCCACCACAACTGTGGGGGTGGTGGAGGGTGCTTCTCCTCCTGGGCAATGCCCCAAGCATACCTTATGCTGTATCCCTTCAGGCTGTGTCTGGGTCAGAGTGCTGACGTCTGGGCCTACATCGTACAGCATGTGCGTAGTCAGAGGTAAGCCAAACCTAGTGTGGGGGAGGGGGCTAGAGAATGGGAAAGACATAGGCAAGGCTCACAACAACTCCTCTCCCTCCCGCCATCTTTCCAATGCAGGACTATCAAGACAATCCAGGGAAACCTCCTCTGGTAACGGCTTCTTAAATTCATTGATTCCTATCTTCCCCCGTTTTGTCTAGCCTGGTTCACAACCAAGGCCTCTACTGCCTTAGTCATCTCCTAACTCCGGTCTCATTTCTCTAGGTATGGCCATCAGGACAATCCAAAGGTGAGACATCTGTGCTGTCCGTATTCTCTTTGAACCGAAAGTCAGCTTGCAAATATTTTGCTTTAGGCCCTGGAGGTGATGGGTCTGTGTTAAAGAACAGGCCCAGATCTTTGTGCTCCCAGGGGTTGTGGTCCAGGGGGAGCCAGGCACAAGATGGGGAACAGTGGTGTATGGACTTGGGGGATTGGTGTTGGAGAGAGGAAGGTCCTGAGTCCTCTAGTCTCAGTACTCAGGAAGAAGCAGAAGGATCACCAGGAGTGTAAGGCCAGCCTGGTCTACAGAATGAGACCTGGTCAAAAGTAGATAAACAAAACTGATAAGAGGAGAGAGGGAAGGGTGGCTTTGACAGAGCCGCTAAGGGGTACAAGGAAGAAGTCAGAACTAGGAGGGGGAACCTACAGAGGTGGCTCAACAATTACGAGCTGCTCTTGAAGAAGACCCCAGTTCACATCCCAGCATCCAGAGCAGATGGCTGACAGCCAACTCTGATTTCAGGTCTAGGGAATCTAACACCTTCTGGCCTCCACTGGTGCCTGCATGCATGCATGTGGTACACGCACATACACACACACACACACACACACACACACACACACACAAAGAAGCTGAGTATGTTGATACTTGCCTGTTATCCCAGCACTTGGATGCTAAAGCAAAAGGACTGTGAGTTTAAGGGCAGTCCAAGCTAGTTACATCCCAAACCCCTGTCTCAGTAAAAATTAAAATAACAATAATAATAAAAAGGCATATGACAGAGGTGTAGGAGTCACCACATAGACAGAAAACCAAGAGGATGGAGAGGCAATTCCAGGAAGGAGAGAACCAGGTAGGTTCTTAGTGCTTCTATGTCAGACCTGAGTCACTTAAAGAAAAATCTGTCAGCCATCTCCCAGGAGATGGGGTGAGGAGCCGAGTGCCACCCAGAAGGTAGTGCAGCCAGGCTAAGCCTCAGTGGGTCCAAGCATCTGACCTTCTGATCCTGTACCTGATCCCACCAGATACGTCGGAAGTTGGAGCTGGAAGCCACTGTGGCCCGCCTTCAGGCAGAGAACCAAGAGCTAGACCAGATCCTGAAACTGATGGATCAAGAGACTGAAGCTCAGGGTGACTCATGGGCCCAGCCAAATGGGCACTGAAACCCTGGGTGACAGAGGTGTTGACAGCCACCTCTGTTCCTCCCACAGATATAGCCATGACACAGACACTGCAGAGCTGCAAAGACACCCAGTATCGAACTCTTCTCCTCCAGGCCCAAGCTGGGGCTGTACGAAGACAGCAACGTGGGCTGCATGACTCCATGCAGCGGCTGCAAAATCAACTCAAGTGTCTGCAGGACATGCAAAGGTGGGGTTCAGTCTCCTCAGAGAGGTCAAACATTCTTCTCAGAAAACCCTGCATTCTGCCTGATTCCCTTCCTTTCAGAATTCTGAGCTTCTAGCCGTAACATAAGGGCTGTCGGGATGGGCAGTTTTATTATCTTGGGCACCTGGATTTATGGTGCCAACTGGATGTCTACAACACTGGCTTTGGAGAAACAAGCAAATACACAGAATAAGGCCCCACCCTGCTGGAGCTGATGTTCTCTTGCGTAGAAGGCAGATGGGAACCTAGGAAATACCTTATAGTTCCAGGTAGATGTAAATCCTGTGAAGGCCCGAAGGATGAAGGGAAAGGGGTAATGTTTAACTTGGGAGAGAAGTCTCCATGGTAACCTTAAAGGCCGCAGGTCAACTTGAGAAATGGACATCCAGGAGAATGTGTAGCCAAGCCTTGCTGGGCAGAGGGACAGTGTGAGAAGGTGGAGTGGGATAGGTGGCAGCTCTGTGGAACAGCACTCAGATCCAGCCTTGCTAGTCGTATAAGGATGAGGTGAGTCAAAGCGTGGATAGCGCTCAGAAGAGGCCTGCCAGCTGTTCTAATGTGACAGGAAAGTGTTATATTGGAGAGGGCCTGAAATTGTGCTGTGACAACAATCGTTAGGTCTCATAAGGGTGGTTTGGTTTGAATACATGGTTCTATTTTTATTTCTTTTCTGTATATAGGTGTTTATATTATGTATGGGTGGGTATATTATGTATATTATGCATGTCTGTGAACTATGGGTATGCCTGGTGCCCTCAGAAGCCAGAAGAAGGCACTGGCTTCTCTGGAACTGACAGCTGCCATATGGTTGCTGGGAATTGAACTCGGGACCTCTGGACGAGCAGCCAGTGTTCTTAACCTCTGAGCCATCTCTCCCTCTCATGGAGCTGTTTTCTGTAGCAGTGCTCAGCTTTGAATGTCAGACTTCACACATGCTAAGTAAGGGGTTTACCACTGATCTACATCTCTTACACTTTGTTTGGTTTTTGCTTTAGACAGTCTATGTAGACCAGAGTGGGCCCAACATGACAATGATCTGTTTGCCTCTGGCTCCTGCATGCTGGGATTACTACCTCACCTGGCCTGTGCCCTTTTGCTCGTTCATTTGAACACTTTGTGTGTGTGTGTGTGTGTGTGTACATGTGCCTGCGTGAGTTTATGTGCCCCACATGCATGCAGGTGTCCACTGGAGGCCAGAGGGCGTCAGATCCTCTAGAGCCAAAATATAGGCAGTTGTGAGCCAGGTCCCGTGCAAGAGCAAGAAGGGTTCTTAACCACTGCGCCACCTCTCCATCTCTCTGGCCCTGACTTGCTTTTTAAATTTACTTTCTATGAAATGTGAATCAGAGTCTCACTAGTTGACTAGACTGGCCTTAAGTATGCTTTGTAACCACAGCAGCTATGCCAGCTTTCCACAGTATTGGGATGACAGGCCTGTGCCAGGGCCAGCCAGATCTAGGTTTTTTTTTTTTTTTTTTTGGTTAGTGTTTTGAGACAGAGTAGTTCTGGCCAGCTGGCCTGAAACTTACTATGTAGCCCGGGAGGGGCTGGTGGTGGAGAGATAGATGCCCCAGGTTAAGAACACTGGCTACTCTTTCAGAGAGGACTGTGGTACAATCCCCACCACCCATGTGGGCACTCACTGTAGTCCATGTGGGCTTCAGGCTTTTAGTAACCTTCCTGTCTTAACCTCCTGAGAGCTAGGATTCAGCAGTTCTCAACCTGTGGGGTACGTTCCCCTTTGGGGTTGAAAGAACCATTCACAGGCATCACCTAAGACCATCAGAAAATACAGATATTTATACTGATTCATAACAGCAGCAATAGTACAGTTATGCAGTAGCAATGACAATAATTTTATGACTGGGGTCACCTTTAACATAGGAACTATATTAAAGAGTCACAGCGTTAGGAAGGTTGAGAACCACTGGCAATGGTTGAGAACCATTAGCTACGGTGCCTGACTGAAAACCCAGATTTTAATAGCATTGCAGACCTACAATAGGTCCTACCAGAGGGGACAGGAATAGGGAGACCAATGAGGAGGCTCATATAGGACACAACAGTGACCTGATCTGAGAGATAGCCCTTGAGCGTGGTAGTGCGAGGTATGAGGCACAGACGGCTGCTCTCCCGACTCCATCCCAATTCTACTTGTCCTTCCAGGAAAGCCAAAGTGGATGTGTCCTTTGGACCTGTGGTGTCAGCAGCCCCAGCCCTAGAGCCAGAGGTGTTGGTAAGAATTCTGGGCTGTCGGGCACTATGAGGAGTCAAGGATCAAGCAGAGGCCTAGAACTCACTAACACCCCATCCTCTTCTCCCTAGGGTGATGTCCGGGCAGCCTGCTCCCTCCGATCTCAATTCCTGAAGAACCTTCTGACTTCCCAGGCCAGGGGAGGCAGCATCCTGTGAGTGTTCTCAGCCTCTGAGACCCAGTGATGACCCAGGCTTGAGGGACGGGAGATTGCTAATTTATTAATTCCTCAGACAGTGGGTTTCTGGGTTATTTCAGTTCTGATCCCTGCCATGTGAGAGCTCCTAGGGTAGGAAGAGGCAGACCCACCATAGATGTTGACAGCCTAGGTAATCAGGGCTGTTTGGGGAGGGGAGGCCTGAGGCTCTGGGACACGGAGGAGGCCCCTACTCAGCTCTGGAGGTGGGGTGGGGGGCTCTGCCCAGGAGACTTAACAAGGATGAAGGGTAAAGAACTAAAGAGGGCACGTAGTGGCCCCAGGACAGCAAGTTCAGATAGTTGGGGAACTCAAGTCTAGTAGGCATAGATGGACTCAACATCCTTACCTGTATAATGGGGACAATGATAGCTCCTACTTACATGCTGTGGTGATAATTTAGAGGGTAATCGATGTGTCTTACAACATTCATTGTCCACTCACCCAAATCCACAGAAGCCCCTGTGATGACCACAGTGGAGCATCCTATCAGCAGTGGCTGACTTCAGTTGAGGTGAGAGGGCAAGGCTCCCAGGAAAGAGTCCCTCCTCCTACTCCATGATAAAACTTCCAGTCACCCCTAACCATCTAAGTCAGTGCCTCAGAGGCCTGGCTCACTCCCCTGCGTCATCCTGCTCTGCCCTCCAGACACTGCTGACAAACCACCCTGTAGGCCACATCCTGGCCGCCCTGGAGCACCTGGCCGCAGAACGGGAGTCAGAAATCCGGTCCCTGTGCTCTGAGGATGGGCTCAGAGAGGAGGCGCTGTCCAGGTGTGCAGTGAATGTCCCCATAGCCAGGCGCAGGCACGGTGACCGCAGATGGGGTGGAACCGAATGCCAGCCAGCAACGGGGGAAGGGAAAACCGATATTGACTACCCACACTCATCAATGCAAAGAGGCTGCTCCCTCAAGTGCTCTGTCCCCACCTCAGGCCTCAGGCACTGGACTCTTCAAACTCCAGCCAGGCCCTGCCGTCCACTGTCCACCTCATCCAGGTAACCCTAAGGCACTTTCCTGAGACCCACTGAAGCCCTCTCCCCATGGACCATGCTCACAAGGACCTTGCACCCGCAGGAGGGCTGGCAGGCTGTAGGTGCATTAGTTACCCAGAGGAGTGAGCTCCTGAGTGAGAGACAAACCCTGACTGGCTGCCTCCTGAGCCTAATGGAGGAGGTGGAGAGACTTTCGCTCGGATCCAGTGAGAGGTAAAGATACTCCCTCGGCAGAGGCTGGGGATAGTGGATGTGGCCCTACCCTAGGGACCCTTCACTTCCTCCCTTTCCTGGTGCTTGTTTCCTGGGGAATTGGGGGGTGGTGTTCTTCATGCCTCCCCAAAGATCTCATGTCCCCAGTGTGGATGCCAGTCTCTCTGTGCTCTTTCACTTCCACCCACCCCCTAGGAAAGTCCTGCTGCTGGAGCTCAGGCGCAGTGGCCTGTGGGCAGAGCTCAAGGCTCTTCATGCCCAGAGCCAGGAACTGGAGAGCACAGTCGGGCACCGGCAACTTCTGCTGCGGGAGCTGCAGGCCAAGAGGCAGCGGATTCTACAGTGGCGTCAGCTGGTGGTGAGATCCCAGGCCCAGTGGATGGTCAGGGTGGGGGTGTGGGGTCCAGAGACCAACAACTGGGTCTCCAGGGCTTCGCGGGATGGCTCAGCATTAAGAGGACTGACTATACTGGCTCATGGTGGCTTATGCCTTTAATCCCAGTGCCCGGGAGTCAGAGGCCTGTTATCTGTGAGTTCAAGGACAACCTGATCTATAAAGCTACTTCTAGGACAGATAGATACATAGAGAAACCCTGTCTTGACAAAAGATCACTAGCTGTCCTTCCAGAGACCCTGGTTTCAATTCCCAGCATTTACATGGCAGCTCACAACTGGGAGTTCGGTTCCAAGGGATGCGATGCCCTCTTTTGGCTTCTGTGGGTATGTGGCATACATGCAGTGCCTAGATATCCATACAGGAAAAACCCATATGCATAAAGTAAAAATAAATCTAAAAAATATATATATTAAAGAGATACAGAGAGGAGGGGTGAAGGAACAAATGAACCTGGCCTCTGTGGAAGTGAGGAGCCAGGGGAAGAGTCCCAGGAAGAAGCAGGACCTGTCCCTGTAAGAAGGAACGGATTGCCCTGGGCAGTGGGAAGAACAGGGAGCTAGTGTCTGCGGCTTTCTGACTCCCTAGGAGGAGAGGCAGGAACAGATCCGTCTGCTCATCAAGGGAAACTCAGCCAGCAAGACCCGCCTGAGCCGGGGTCCAGAGGAGGTAAGGTGAGTGTCGGGCAAGGCTTGGTGGGCCCTGTCCACCCTGCCCACTGTCTCCATCCCACAGGTGCTGGCCCTGATTCAGCAGAAGCTTGTTCCCACCTCTGAGGCTGTGGCACCACAGAGCCAAGAACTGCTGCGATGCTTGAAGGAAGAAGCCAAGCACCTGCCCCACGTTCTCCTGGGCCCCCTGCTGCCATCCCATGTCACAGGGTGAGGCTGGGGCCGGCCCTCTCTTCCCTCTGAAACCTAGTCAAATGAGTAGCTCCAAGGTGAGGTCCAGTGAGAGGAGAGCCCTGATCTCAGACAATGAGGGTGATGAAGAAGACACCAGACATCCACCTTGGGCCTCTACACACATTTGCACACACCTGCACATGCACATAAAGGCAGCCCAGGGCCTCCAGACTGTCAGACCTTATCCCACATCATCAGCCCAGTCTGGTCTCCCAGTCCTTAGGCCTATCTCCAAGTCCCTGTACCCCCAGAGCTTCTGCAAATCAAACTGCTTACTGTTGTTACTATCCCCCCAGGCTGAAGCCGCTATCCAGGATTCTACCATCCATCCATCAGCTGCACCCCACCACCCCAAGGGGCTCCAGCCTCATCTTCATGAGTCACACACTGGGGCTGCCTATAGGGAAAGTAAGTATCCATGACCTGTGACCTGTCTGCCCATCCCAATCCCAACCCTGTAGCCACGGTGACCATCCTTCCCCTGCCCCCAGGCATCTGAACTACTGCTTCCAAAGGCTGCCTCTCTCCGACAAGACCTTCTGTTTCTCCAAGATCAGTGGGGTTTCCGAAGAGGAAATCTCTGTGTGAAGACCAGTCTGCCTCCGGGACCATCCACTCAGGGTATGTTGACCCCGCCTGCTTTCCAGATCAGCATTCTGTCAGGTCTGCACCACTATGGGCTTCCTGAAGTGCTAAAAACCCCCGGTACTGCAGCGTGCTGGAAACATGCTTGCTTCAGCTGCACAGTAAGCTCTTACTGTGTGTTGTGTTGTCCTCCCCCCCGCCCCCGCCCTCGCCCCCCCTCCCCCCAGTTGCAGAGCAGGGAACTCAGGTACACAGTAGAATGGAGGTTGGTTGGTTTACTTCTTTTGTCTTTTGGTGTGTATCTCACTGTGTAGTCCAGGCTGTCTTCAAACTTGAGATCCTCTTGCCTCTGCCTCCTAAGGCCTACACCCTGCCCCCACTCCACCAGCCCAGGCAAGAGCTTGGCTGTGAATGTGGGTCCCGTCCCAATCCCAACCCCACGGTTAGACGTGGATCTGACTATAAGGCTACACAGCCCATCCATTTGCCGGGTATCGCTCACTGCCTTCAGAGCACCTTGTGTTGTTTTAGCGTGTGTGCAACCCCATGTTTGTGAAGGTCAGAGGACAACTTGTTGGAGCCTGTCCTCTCCTTCCACCAAGTGGATCCCAGGGCTCAAACTCAGGTAGTTGGGCGTGGCAGCAAACACTGCTATCTGCTGAACCATCTTGATGTTCCAGTGTTCTTTTGTTGTTGTTTTGTTATTGTCTATTGAGGCAGGGTCTGGCCAAGCAGCCTAAGCTGGCCTCAGACAAGCAATTTGTTCCCTCAGCTTGCCAAATGCTGGTGTTATAACCTCGCACCACTACCTCGGCCTCATGGTTATCTTGAACTCTTTTTGTTTGTTTGGTTGGTTTGGTTTGGTTTCTCTGTGTAGCCCTGGCTGTCCTGGAACTTACTCTGTAGACCAGGTTGGCCTCGAACTCACAGAGATCTGCCTGCTAGGATTAAAGGTGTGAGCTACCACCACCTGGCTATGTATCTGTAACAGCTCCTGGATCCCTCTATTCTAAAGAAGAATTTTGTTCCCTTTCTTCCTGACCTCCCTCCCCCCAAACGATCCATAACCCCCATGTCAGCTCATCAGCAAGCCCTCAGAGTCCAAATTCGGGGTTCTGGGCTACCAGATCTGCTCCCGCCACAATAACTCATGACTCAGAATTCCCAGAGTTGACAGGCCTAGATAACGAACATGTAGAGTCATGGTGGAGGTCACAGACAGGGTACTCAGTGACTGATGCTTTGTATTCACATTCAGTGGGGTCTGTTCTGGCGCAATGGGGACTAGGCCAGTCACCATCCTGGGGAAAACAGTGCAAGAGTGGAAGGTTGGAGCAGGGTGAGAAGGCCTTGGGAAAGATGGTGAGTTAGTTAGAGCCCAGGGAGTAGAGTGCTTGCCTAGCATACCCACAGCCCTGGCCTTCATACCAGGACTGCATAAAACTATGTGTGGCGGTTGGGAATAGTGGCGTACACCTTTAGTCCCAGTACTGTGGAGGCAGAGGCAGGTATGAGTGCAAAATAAGTGGAATCTACATAGTAAGTTCCAGGCCAGCTAGGCCTACAGAGTGAAGCCTGTCCCCAAGAAAAGGGGAGGTGGCTAGGGAGATGGCTCAGTGGTCAAGAGCACTTGTTCTTGCAGAGGCCCTGGTTCAGTCCCCAGCACCCACGTGGCAGCTCACAACATCTGTGATTCCAGTTTCAGGGGACCTGCTGCTGTCTTCTGATTTCTTCAGGCACCAGGCACACATGTGCATACACATACATGAAGGCAAAACACTAATAATAAACGTTATATATATATATATATATATATATATATATATATATATATACACACACACACACACACACACACACACACACACACACGTATGAACACACCTGCAGATCCAGTACTTGGGAAGTAAAGGCCGGAGGATCAGAAGGCTCAGTGTCATCCTCACATAGCAAGTTTGAGGCGAGCCTGTACTACATTAGACCTTGCCTCAAAAGGAAAAAATAACAGGCCAGTTGTGACATGCACCTTTAATCCCAGTACTCAGGAGTTAGAGGCAGAAAGGTCTCTGTAAGTGTGAGGCCACCCTGGCTCACATATGGAGTTCTAGGACAGCCAGGGCTACAGAGACCTTGTCCTGAAAAAGAAAGGAAAACCAAAAAGTATGGTGTCTCATGTAGGCTCTGGAGTTAGCTCAGATTTTCCCCAGAAGGGAACAGAAATCACAGAATGCAAACTGTCTGAGGAGTCTGGACTTAGCGGAGTTGTTGGGGGCGGGGGATACTGGGGAACCTAGAAGGCACTGGGGGACAGGTTTCTGAGCAAGAGATGGAGAAGCTTCTGGCTAACACGGAAGGTGACCAAAATGGAAGACTAAGGCCTGGAACCTGGGAAAGAGGCCACAGAGAAGAAAGGGAGACACTGAGGTGGCCAAGTTCTGTGTGTGACAGAGACTGGTAGGCCACAGGGTAGACGATGGGAAAGTCCAGGTTGAGGCCTCGAAGGTGGCATCCTTGCAATGGGGGGCCCCTGAAGCTGCCTCTCCACTTGTAACCTCCAGAGCTGCTGCAGATCCAAGGATCCCAGGAAAAAGAGCAGAATGAGAACCTGGGGCAGACCATGAAGAAGCTGATGAACCTGCTGAAACAGACACTGGAGATCGAGATCCCAGAGTTCCAGGGCATCGTTGAGGACTGGTGAGAGGGGAGCATTTGAATAACTGGGGGCTGTGCTTCATGGCGTAGCTGTCACCATGGGAGGGGCTGGAGGACGGGCCTTCCTCAGACATGCCTTTCCCCAGGTGGAAGCAGCCCGGCCAAGCTGTCCTCTCTGAGGAGCTCCGTCAGGGCCTGTCCCTGCCCCAGTGGCAGCTGCGCTGGGTGCAGGCCCAAGGAGCACTGCAGCAGCCACACAAATGAGGAGGCGGTGAGGAGCAGACTCAAGACTTGCAGTTTAGCCCAGTGCTCTACACCTACTGTCTCTACTCAGGAGACTGAGGAAAGAGGACTGCTGTTGATTTCTAAGCCAGCCTGGGCTACACAGCAAGTTCCAAGACAGCCTAGGCTACATAGTGAGACCCTATTTCAAAAATAAATAGTATTTAACTCCCAAATTTCACCTTCCTCAATAAAGCATTTGAAAGAAAGTACTGCCCAGTTTTATCCACTTAGTCTTGGCACAGGACCTGCGGTTCCCCTCTGGCTGTCGCTCTGTGGTTCCTCCCAGGCCTTGCACTGCCCTGTCCACTAAAGCCAAGAGAAAGAGGGAAGGTGAACTCTGGACCATACACCTTGAAGTGGCTGCTTCACTGTCCTCCTCAGCAGAAGCCCCTGCCTTCAGGGAACTAGTGGCCTAGGAGAGTGAGGTAGCCAGCTGGCAAGGTAGACGACTATGGTGCAGCGGAACTTGACTGCCATGGGTAGGTTAAGCAGGGTACTGTGTGGGAGAGAGTACTCAGGGCAGAGCTATGCTGGTAAGGTGATCAGGGAGCACAGCAGTGCCTTGCCAGAACAGAGCCCTATGCAGGGCAGGTCAAGAGATGACAGTGTCCTCTACGGCTCTGTTTAGTCAGTCTGTGACCGTAGCCCAGGCAGATAGCCCACAGCTCTAGCATCTGGAACATCTTGGAATCTCCCATGCAACTTCAGTGTTACAGCTTCTTGTTCCAGTGTCTGGGATCCACACATGATCTTCTGGGTTCCTCCAAAGGACTTGGGTCACATCTCCAGCTCTGCCCTCTGTAGCTCTCTAGGCTCTGGTTGACTCCACTGCCGCTGCTGTTCTTGGTGATCATCCCATGGTACTGGCATCTCTTATACACTGGGGTCTTCTGCTCCAACTAGGCTCCTTCACCAAAATCTACATTCTTCCAAACAAAAGCATGGTTCAGCCTATCACAGCAATACCCCAATCCCTGGTACCAACTTCTGCCTTAGTTAGTGTTTTACTGCTGTGAACAGACACTTGATTTTCCAAAAACATGCACTATAAATAAAATGACAATGTAATAACAATGAACAATCCTAGTGAGTTGAAGGCCAGTCTGGTGTACATATTAAGTCCCAGGCTAGACTATCTCAAAAAGAAAAAGTAATAAAAAATTTAATGTTTAAAAAAACTTCAATTATCTCTATATATCTCTAGTATAAAAGCCAATAATTTGTTCTGTGCCTGTAATCCCAGCACTTGAAAGCCTGAGGCAGGAAGATTTTTTTTTTGTTTTTTTCTTTCGAGGCAGGTTTTTTTTCTCTGTGCAGCCCTGGCTGTCCTGGAACTCACTCTGTAGACCAGGCTGGCCTCGAACTCAGAAATCCGCCTGCCTCTGCCTCCCAAGTGCTGGGATTAGAGGTGTGCGCCACCACTGCCCGACAGGCAGGAAGATCTCTTAAAAAGTTCGAAGCACCCTAGGGAGTTCCATGCCTGGGCTCAAAACCAAACCAAACCCCAAAATGAAAAAAAAAACACATGGAGGCAGTCAGTAAAATTTTGTTCAAAAAGAGAATAATGAACTGACCCCTGGCAGTGTATCTGTCAACTGACGGCGGAAGACCCCGACTCTGACTTTGCGGTGTTTACAAACTTCTGGAAGGGCCTCGGAACTTCCGTGCCTCCTCAAAGTTCCGGCTTCCACAGCGGGGTGGGTCAAAGTGACGTTGCTTCGCGCTCATTCGTCCACCTTCCTCTACGAGGGCGTGGCCTGCCCGTACTGCCGCTCTCCGTCAAACGAGAGGCCCTTCCGGGACCCTGTCTTTCCGACACTCTAATTGGCTAGTACTCGTCCTGGGGGTGTGGCCATGTCGCATTAGCCCCTGTTCTTAAACCTACGTCCTCACGCAGCGCATCCGTCGCGGTAATCCTTACGTCATCGGCCGGCTCCCACCCTGAGGAGACAGGGACTCGACCGTAGAACCCGCGGCGGCGGCTGGAAGGAGCGGTGAAGGCCATGGCATCAGCGATGGCCGGAGCGGGGCCGGCTCCGGGACTCCCGGTGGCGGGAGGGCCCGTGGTCCCGGGGCCTGGTGTCGGCATTCCGGGCAAGAGCGGCGAGGAACGCTTGAAAGAAATGGAGGCGGAGATGGCCCTGTAAGGCCCTGAGTGGGAAAAATAAAAGCTATTTCGCGGCAATCCCACTCAACCCTGGAGCCTCCAGGGCTTCAGAAACCTGAGATGTGGTTCTATAAGGGGCCGTGGGACCCGAGGGACGCGGGGAGGCGTTGGCTGTGATGAAGGCGCTTCATCCACTGTTGGCTGGGCGTCTGGAAGTGCCCAGCCCCTCAGGCTTGGTGAGACCTGACCTATGGTATCTGTCCCATTCCCCCAGGTTTGAGCAAGAAGTACTGGGAGCTCCGGTGACCGGAATCCCAGCTGCTGTGCCTGCGGTGCCCACGGTAGAGGCGATGCAGGTTCCCCCAGCTCCTGTGATCCGCCCAATTATCGCCACCAACACATACCAACAGGTAAGGCGGGAGCTACCGCTTATGAGTCGGGAGAACACAATGGTTTGATCCCAGTAAGGGCTTATCTATGGAGATCGATTGACGTTTTGGCTGGCCAGAGACTCGGGATGCAAGACAGTATATTTAATCCATTGGGAACTAGTATTCTACGGCATCCTGTCCGGTAGAACTTTCTGCAGTTGTAGAATATTCTATATAAACATCTCCTTAAAGTTTACACTCACAGGTTTGGGATGTAGTTCAGTGATAGAGGACTTAGTCTTTGCAGTAACCCTATTTTCTAAGCCCACCACAACGACCAAAATAATAGTAAAATGTATGTTTGTGTTAAGTCGTTCCCAAGCCAAACTGATAATGTTCCAGGTGCTTAATAGTCAGCTGTAAGAAAGAAGGAAACAGAGAGGAACTATTTAAATGAACCCCAGCAGAAGAAACTTGTTAATGCTGTTCACAGTTATTAGGTGGGCTGGGACACAGCTTAGTGGTAGATCTCATGCCTGGCGTGTCAAAACCATAGGTTCAGTCCCTTGTATTGGGGAGAACAAAAAAGATGAAAAGCAGCTCTTGTGCCGTCTGTACACTAGGCACTGTTCTAAGCAGGGCTTGTATAGGAGAAAACAAAGCAGAAGTTTCTTGTTTCTTTGGCCGTACAGTGGTAAGGAGAGCAGAGGTTTATGAGCAGTCGGGGAAGGCCTTTTTGTTTGGTATTAGTAAAGCAAAGACATAAACGAGACCATGGAACCATGCAGATATCTGGAGTGATGGTATCCCAGGCAAAAAGCCGTCCATGCAAAGACTGAGACAACACTGTCTTCTTGTTCATGCAACAGCAGAGAGGTCAGTGGCTAGAGAGGATTGAGACAGTGAGGAAGCTAGATCTAGACTCTTAGCTTTTCCCTTTGGAATGAGGAAGCACTAGAGTAGGTGCGTGGTAATGGTCTGACTTACAAGCTGAGCAAGTGCCTTTGGCTGTCCAGATAATACACTAGAGAGGGAAAGGGGGAGCTCACGGAGATGGAGGAAGAGGCTAATAATCCAGGTAAGGTAGCGGTAGATAGACAACAGGGGCGACAAGTCGGACATTAGGTAAGATAGTGTGGGGTCTGCAGCCTCTCCCTGAACATGCCTGCTCTCAGAAATGACAGGGACCTGGTTAGTTCTTGGATGGGAGATAGTCCTATAGGGAATCTAAGTCAGAGAAATTGATACTGGGAGATATTAATAATAATAATATCTTAA